TGCTAATCTGATAAGCACGGTCTGGCTTGGAGATTGGAGAAAGGGCGATCAAACAATCTGAAAGAGTCTTTTTTGAGGCAGCAAGGGCATGGTGATCAGATCGAACGGAATGATCCTTGATTATATCGGCTGCTGCTCTTCCGGAGAAAGGGCCACCGGCTGTCGAATTAGAACGTTTAAATTGTGACATACTATCACTCATTGAGCAGGGCGGAGGAGATGTCGTTTTATTTGCGATTCCAGCCGTTTCGGCAATACTCAAAATGGCGGGATCATCTCCAAGCCATTCGCCTGATTGATGATTGACCGTGGACCGAGAGTCTTCTTGATTTACAGATAGCTTCTGGAGTAAGTTAGTGACGCGGTCTGCTACCAATGCCACAGAGGATAATTGCTGATTATTGGAAACGACAGAGTCTGTCTCGTGATAGGGCGCATCACCATCTTGTTTAAGTTGTAAGGGAAAGTGTTCGGGCACATTAGGAAGGTATGGGATGGCTATTGAATCGATATCAGCCAGAGGCACGGCGGCCACACCGACGCCGGTTTGACTATTGGCACGACCACCAGAAATAAGCGTGATATCGGATTGAGGGGTAGAAGGAAGCAGACATGATGAATGAAGAAAATTGAAACCACTGGACTGGAAAGGCTCTAACACCCTTTGTAGAACATTAGTTCGGCCGTTTGGCATGCTTGTCACGTCATTTGGGATATTAGATAGAGTGGAAGGCGGCAATGGAACAAAGTTACGTGATTCCTTTTTCGATGAGTTATGATCACTAGTTAAGTCATTAGGAGCGGAATCTCCTGTTCCTCCTAAAAACAAATAATTGACACAAATAAGAATAAAATGAGGCAAAACAGCAGTCGGGCACAAAAAATTGTTATTTAGAATGGCGCGGGTGATATATTATAGGCAACACAGAAATTAAAACGAATGAAGACTGATATATTCGATTTAAGTAATGTACGTAGGCCATTTGAGATATTAGATAGAGA